ATGTTAACCAGACAAATGTCTATGAAATGCTTCTGCAGAGCTCCTGTGGTGGTGGACTGGCTGGAGTTGGTAGAGCAGATCTGAATCTTAGGTTCTTTGGCGTCTCTGGTTGATGCTTAGAATCCCTGTAGGGCCGAAAGGATGACCTGGCTTCACAGAAAAGTTCCTGAGATGAGCACTGAAAGAAAATGTCAAGGTCTTGAGGTTTGAATGATTAAATAGAACACCTCTGAGTCGTGAAAGAAACTGGCATGGTTTAGTAATGTTCTTTGTCATTCGGAGGAAGGTGATGTAGGTTTACTGTAGTATACAGCAGGGATTTTTTGAGCTGAGAGCTATGTGATACTGTGGTGATTGATGTATCTATGTTAACAAATTATTGATTTGATTTCATTTCTAAACAGCTTGTTACCTGAAATCAGACCTGCTGAACTCTGCAGTTTCTCCTTCTGCAGCTAATTTATTGGTAGCCAGGTATGTTGGGGTTGAGTAGAGTTGCAAATGTCTTAGTATTTCAGGAGTGGGAAGGATGAAATGAGCCCATCTTACTACAAAGAAAAGTGCTTTGAAGATACTAGGACTTCCTCCTGTGCAGAAGCGGTCGTAGTGTCATACTCGACTTCATAGCTTTGTGAGTCCTTTGCAAAGTAGGATTTCAGTGACTTAAGTAAATACTAGTGCTTCTATCATGGAAAAAGAAGAGCTTTTTCAACCTGACTTTAAAGGTGGTGGTGGTACAGGGGGCTATTATGGAAAATGAAACTTAATTCCATTTGCTTATTTCCTTTCTCTGATGTTTGTCCAGATCATTAGCTCCTTCTTCATCAACTTTGGCATCAGTGGTTCCATCCCTATCTGCACCAGAAGTGGGAAGTGACAAAGAGACCATTGAGCAGCCAGAAGCAGCCAGCACTCAGGGAGCTCCACAAGTGCTTAGAAAAGCCCCTGGGAAAATACCCAAATGGCTGAAGCTTCCAGGTATCAATGAATCATAGGAGAGCTCTGCTCCTTCTGAACTGCCCCAAAAGGCAGCCTCCTCTCTGCCAAACATGCTGGATATTGATGGTATTGGTGCACACGTCAGCTTATGCTTGCAAGACGTTTGGTTGACTGCTTGTCAGTCACAAATTTGTTGGTGACTTGAACCTCAGCCTTCATTGGAGAAGTATATGAATGCAGATTCTGAATACTGGGAAGTCTGATACCTAATCCATATGCTTGTAGCATTTTTGGCTGTGTTCTGCTCTTGGTATGCTGAGCTCTACACTCTGCCAGTGTAGTTCAAATACTAATAGGCAGGGTATTCTACATACCAAGGGTCCTTGTAATCTATTAAATCTCTGGCATAACTTTCCTTTTGCTGCTGTAGTCTTAGTACTTTTACTTCTCTTAAAATTTTTAGTTAGTCTTCTTTTTAATCTTCACTGCAAACCAGTAGGGGTTTTCCATAATTAAGATTGCAACCAAGTGTCCATTATCATTTTTTTCTTGTTTTATTAAGAAATGAGTAAGAGATAATTACATGTTGAGTGTTTTAATGGTGCTGTGTTTATTTTGTAGGTGGGAAGAGATGAAGCATCCTGGGCTGCTGGATCACTGTGTTGTCAGCTGTGCCCTCTTCTCCACTTACTAAGAAGAACTTACTAAGAATGTGTAAAAGGTGTTGGTGGCCCTGGAGAGATCTAATCTGTATGAACATTAGTTATAAAAAGAGAATGGCTATTTCAGATACCAGTTGCAGCTGGTGGAGGAGTGGAGGGCCTGCTTGTGGTCTTTGTGACTACAGAAGCAAGGTTAGAGGTTAAATTTAAGGTTTCTTGCATGCAAATAATAAGAATAGAGAATTAAGGGGGACACGATTCCTATATACTTTCTGCAAAGGACTTTGTTTCTATCCATACTTTTAAATTCAAATCCTCTCAGTTCCACCTTCAGAGATCACTTGAGTCTAGCCTGTATTCTAGTGGCAAGATAAAATCTGGTTCAGCTTTACCTATAATTGTTTAGTGGTGCCTAGAACAAGACTTCTCCCTGCTTCTTAGTGATTAGGGTTAGTGCTGCTGATAATTCTGGACATAGATGGCTGGAAAATGAATGAAGAGGAAGCACTTAAGTTACTTAAACCAGTTCAGATCAGTGAACTTTCCTGTGAAGCACCCGAGCTGCTGCACTCGTTTTGTGTGCAGTTGCCAGAATCTTGTTAACAAGGAACACAGGTGTCTGTTCATGGAATGCCTGTTGAGCTTGTTTCTGCCCTAAGCTCTAGTTTTATTTTCACTGTGTACAATTACCATCTGTAATTAGTTACAGCCAGGGAAAAAGCATCCAGTTGAAGGGTCTCTTCAAATGACAGTTGATTGGTGGCCTGAGTATTCCCAGAGCAGGGTAGCTGTGCTCTGCACTGCAGCTGGTGTACAGGGAAAAGGCCCAGTCCAGATCTTTGTCTCCTGCAGACGTGGGAGGACGAATGTTGGTTAGAATTGTCCTTACACTGGAGATGAACTCTGTTGTGCCATGGCAGTCATGGTGCTGGGTTTTATTGAAGTCTTCTCCATGGATCGCTGATCTGTGGAGAGCTGGGGTTCCATGGTACAGTAATACCATGTTTTCCATTTTCCTTGTTTCCTCCCTGCACTACGTGTGCATCTGCGCAATTTGTAGGTGTAATAAAGCAGAGTGGCCACAGGGGCCCTTTTGGTCAGTGCCTTTAATATCTTCTTGCCCTGGCACTTGGTGTGTCTGTCAGTTCACAGGAACCTGCTCTCCTTTCAACTGGCCTGTCATGCCTCGTTCCCTTCCTCCCATTTTTTTTCAACAAAGCAAAACGGAGCTTTGTATCATCTGAATGAACATCAAAGTGGCTAGAAAGGGCACCCTGGGTTCCTGGCACTTGTCATTGTCTCCCTGCCTGGCCAACATTTCCCTTCAGGTCTAATTACTTCCAAATGCTCACAGATGCTTTGAAGAAACTTGGAGGGAGGGGGAGGCATGAAAGAAAGGTGGAAGAGGAAGGAGACTCAAAGCAGAAGGAGTGCAGAATGCTTTAGCAAAAAAATTGATTGATTTCTTATTTGACACCCAGACGTGAACAGGGAATGTGAGAGCACTGTGTACAGCTCCTGCACTCAACCCTCCCTGTGGAAAGCAAGCCCTTCTGCCACTTGATAGGCTATAAAAGACATACCACAGCAAACAAAAAAAACCCAGTCAAATAATGTTTAAAGTTTATTACTCTGTAGTGGATTAAGTGTGGGCTGAGCCCACGCTGCATAGGACTGTTGGTATCTTGGTTCAGGTGCTGTGTCAGGCTTACTCATGTCACACAAATCAGAAGTAGAGCTGCCTTGCTGAATTTGTACAGGATATCCTGTGAGGAAACCAGGAGCTGTTGATAATGATAGGTGGTGAAATACTTGTGCTGGTGTTTTTGGTTTCCAGGACTGGAATATGCAGAAGCAGTGTGGTTGGGAGGAAGTTGCAGTGTGCCTTCAGATGTGCTAGTCCTTATTTTTTGAAGACCACAGGTGACATCAAATAATATGATCTGCTTAACTGATTTTCTTAGCTGCTCTAATTATGTCAAGTTTTGTAAAGGGTTAGGTCCATAACTATCCCCTGCAAGTACCTGACATGGAAAAACAAGTTTAGGTACACAAGCAGCAATATCAGTATTCCTGGGGCAGTTTCATGGGTTAAGTGTAAGGGCTTTGCATCACTGACTGTGTTCCCTCAGGCAGTTCTGCCCATGCTTGTCCTTTTTTAACTCAGCTGTCATCAAACCCAGTTTAACCACAAGAATGAAAAAATGCTACCTTCAATAGCTAGACGAGAGGTCTTATTCCCCTTCCCTATACAAAGAGTTACTTTTAGCTGCTGCTGCTGTTCAATTGCTGCTTTACTGTGGATGTCCACATCAGCAGTTCTCTGTGTGTCAGGAAAAGGATCTTGAGCCTTTTTAGGGCAGCATCTTTGGGACTGCTGTTTCAGTAGGTGTCAGGGTGGAGGCAGAGACAGGGACCTGAAATCTGGAAAAGGCAAGGAAGTAGGAGTGAATTCTTTAAGGGGGACAGGACACCCCCACATTTAAAATGGTGGGCCCTTCACTAAAGGAGGGATTGCTACAACGATTCCTGCCCTGCTGAAGAGCAGTACCTGCAGATACCTGATGAACTGGTTTTGTTTCAGTATCGCTTCGCTATAGTAGCTGAACTCAAACTCATCCCTGTGGTTTTAGGGCATTCAAAGGTAGTATCACTTGCTTTTTTTTTTTTTTTTTTAATTTTTTTGGGATTGGCTTTTTTTTTACCAGTGGTTGTGGGGCTGAGGACTGAACTAGGTCAGTTCCTTCATTGCATGTGTTGTACAGCTGAACAGTTGTTTTGGCTGAGAAGCTGCAGTGCTGAGGGCTGGGCACTGCTTAGGCTGGTACTGTCACGGAACGCGTATGGAACGGCAGTTTTGGTGAGGCTTCATGGTGGTTGTCCTGAGGGATGACCCTGATAGTGGACAGTGCACAGTGACCCACTGAGCCTGTCACAGCTGCTCCCGAGCCAAGGACTGCTGCTCCGGCTGCTGCTGCCCTCCGTGCAGCCAGCCCCGCACTTCCAGCAAAGCCACTCGGGCCCTGGCTCCTGCCCACATGTGTAAGGTTTCTTATTTCACAGTGCCCCCCCCGCCAGAGGGGCCAGGCTGTCCCGTGATGTGGGATTCTCACACATGCTGTTTGTTATTTTGTCCTTTTTTCCTTTCGTCCTACAAAGATTTAGGGAAGAGGGTGGGTGAGGGGGAAGCTCTGCAAGTCTTTGAAGCAACTTGACTTTTGATGATGAATTGCAGCAAAGAGCCTACACAAGGAAGGGAGACTTGTTTTTAACTTACTGATGTTTCTTTGTGAGAACAAATTTATAGCAGAGGGGGAGCAGCCTCTGAGGAGAATGTTGAATGGTTAAAAGGTTTCAAGCATTCTTTGATGTCACAGCCTGAGAAATACTGGAAGGTAGTGAGGGACAGACACTGTTTATTTATAAAATAAAGATCAGTTACCTGCTTTTGGCAAGAGCCTGTGACTAAGCTCCTGTTAATGACCTATTCATTGGAAGGCTTGGAGCTGCACCTGGAGTTGCTGTTACAGCTGCCTGCTTGAGGCAATGAGAGCCTGAAGGCTGGACAGTATTCCCAGCCATTAAGTCTTTCCATGCATCTCTGTGAAGCAGCACCTCTTTCTCACATTAGCTGAGAAAGCAACAGCTTCTTACCATGTTGTGAAATACTGGCCTCTGTTACAGGAGTAGGGCAGCAAGATGGAAACCAGTTATGTACTCAGCTGAACAAATTAAGCCTGTGGCACCCTCTTCTCAAAAATGGTATCTGACAGCATCGTTGCTTTGGGCTGTGTTGTGCTTGGTAAGGGAGAGAGGAAACAAGCAAAATGGCAGAGGAAGAAAAAGCTGAGACTGTCCCAGAGTGTCTCTGAGGCTGAGACACGTGTCAGGCCAGGACTGTCTGCTGACAGGCGACATGTGCTTCAGGAGGCCTCTAGAAATCCAGAAGCTGCAATGAAAGAGCAGCAAGCGAGTCAGGACAGAGGCTGGGTTCTCAAAACAACTCCCAAAAGGACGAGGATTAGGCTGTTCAGCCCGTATCCTCGTTCTGCTCCCATGCAGTTCAGGCCCACAGTTACATACCAGCTGTGGCAATACTTTCTCCAGCTGTTCAATATCCACCTTGTTCAGGTCCTCGGCCTGGGCCTGCCGAGCTGCCCGTGCCGCTGCTTCTGCAGCGCAACGAAAGAAAGGGAAGGGCAGTGAGAGGGGTCCGGGAGCTGTCACACCTGGGGCTGCTGTGCTGGGAGGAGGGAGGCGGCCCGGGGCCCCGGAAGGCTCCGCACGGCGGGTCAGGGCTGGACGGGAGCAGCCGCAGGGCGGCCGGGAGGAGCCGGGAGCCGCCGGGAGCCCTCCGGGGCTGGGGCGACCCTGCGCGCTCACCTCGGACGAAGACCTTCAGCAGCTCGGCCATCAGCAGCTGCGCGTCCGCGTTAACTGCAAGGACAAGGCGGTTACGGGAGGAGGGGGCGCGGCCCGCCCCGACCCGCCCGCCGCCGCCGCCGCCGCCGCCGCCCCGGTACCTCGGGTCCTCCCGTCCCGGAAATGGAGGCGGAGAAGCCGATCCACGGTGTCCTGCGGAGAGAGGAACGGGTGAGCGGGGCCGGGGCTGCGCCCACCGCTCGGGGCCGCGCCCGGGGCCGCCGCACCTTCCTGAAGCCGCCGGCGCGACCGCCCCGCTCCTCCATAGCCCGCGCGCGGCCGGGCCCGCCTCCCGGGGGCGCGCCGGGCGGGAGCGCGCGCGGGCGGGGAGCGGTTCCGGGGGAGCGGTTCCGGGGGAGCGCGCGCGGCCATGGAGCAGCTTGGGCGCGAGTACGCGCGGCTGTGCGCGGCGGCGGGCGCGACCCCGCAGGAGGCCGTACTGCGGCGGCTGCGGGGGCCCGGTGGGGGCCGCCTGGACCTGGCGGCGCAGAGCCTCTCGCTGCCCACGTGCAGCGCGCTGGGCCGGCTGCTGCCCGGGGCTGCGCCCTTGGCCGCGCTGGCGCTCGGTGACTGCGGCCTGAGCGAGGAAGGTGCGGCGGGGCCGCTCTCCCTGTGGCGCCGGGCGGGCCGCGGCCGCGGGGCGGGAGGCCGGCCGAGGCGCCCGGCCCGTGGCCGTGCGGCGGGCACGCACCCTCGGTTCTCCCTCCGGCGGCGAGGGCAGCTGTGCCTCTGTTGGCCGCGGACGGACGGGACGGTCCGGCCGGTCAAAGTGGCCCGCAGTGAGGGGGCTCCGTGGGCAGCCCGTCCGAGCCCGCAGAGCCTCTCTGGGGATCTTTCAGGGCTGAGTCGGGTAGATGTATAAGCTGACAGGTAGTTCTCTGCCCCGGCACCTTTTTGAGAATATATAAACAGTCTCCTGCCCTGAAAGCTCAGGCTCAAGCTTTCCAGCAGCAGTTGCAGTTTTTCAAATAATTTGTTTATCGCAGCCACGTCTCCTGAGCTGGCTGTTTAACAGTGATACACTGGGATGATAGCTGGTTTAGGCAGAGAGTTTCACAGATGAAATAAACAACTTTTTTTTTTTTTTTTCTGCTCAGGTGTAAGGCTTTTGTTGAATGGTCTTTGCACCAACACCACAGTCAAATCTTTGGATCTGAAGGTGAGTCTGAAAAGAATTAACAGTGTTCTATGGTGGAGAAGGAAAAAGCACAGGCTTAATGAGAAAGAGAACTGGACAGTCCTGGTGCAGGATTGTTCAACAAGATGCATACTTCTGTAAGTTTTTTGTTTTCAAGTGACTCATTCCTTGACTCGTTAACACCACGTCACAATTATCCGAAGTTACTTGGCCAGTCATCTTTATCCACTTTTATTCAGTTACTCTGTTTTTATAGGAAGCTATTGCTATGTACCTTTTGTCAGTTGCTGCTTGGGCAGATGAGGCATATGTAGGCTTTTTTGGGATTTCTGTATTCATCAGTGAGTTACGAGCTGTCCTACTTGTGTTTCTTTCTTTTGACTAGCGTGTGCTTTGAACTAAGCATCTGCCTTCAGATGCGATTGTCTCTCTGCTGAGAGTGACTTTCTGTCTGTATTCCTTTGGCATTTCCACAGTCACAAACTGCATCATAACTTTCTTACTCATTTGTGCTAGTATTAACAGAGTCCTTCTTAATGAAGTGTGTTAAAATAGTTATGTTTCTCTGGCATTGCTGTTTTCTGCCCCGTCGTGGTCCATGCTGATCCTGTGCTATTCTGTGATTTTTGCAAGCTCTCAGTCATGGTGCCCTTATAAGACCAGTGGTGTGTATGGATCCACTGTTCCTCCAGGGTTTTTCATTTTGTGGAAGCCTGATTGACACGTGAAACAAATGTTGATTGGACCATTTTTGCCCAGCTGAAATTTGTGTTATAGCTGGGATGTGTCTGGTGGTGTTCGTGGTCTAGGTGGACTGGGAGAAGCTTAGCTGATCACCTGGGGCTTCTGTTTCAGGGAAATAACCTGCGAACCATGGGAGCTGAGGCTTTGGGAAAACTTCTTAGGCAGAACAAATCCATCAGGAGGTAAAAATATATCTACCTCTCTTTGTGCTATTCCTGCCAGATGGAGCCCAGCATTTGAAAAGGATTGAGGGTGTTTTTTATTGGGGTGGGAGGAATGCCAAGTGGTGCAATTTCTTGTGAGGGGTGGGACGGGCAAAGGCACAAGAACTGGAGGTGCTCTTTTGGAGGATGCTGGGCCCTGGCAGCATGCTGCTCTCTGAAGCTGAGTCTGCTCCCAGAGCTGGGTGTGTGACTGGGTGTGCTGTGATCCATGTGTCGTTCACACAGCTGACCATTGACTCCACAAACACCAATCCTGCCTGATTTCCCTAGCCTGACCTTAGAATGGAACAGTCTCGGCATGTGGGAGGAGGGCTTCTCCTTTTTCTGCCAAGGATTGAGGGCAAACAACTTTCTTCAACGTCTGGATCTGCGCAATAACCAGATTAACCATCAAGGGGCTGGAGAACTGGCCATGGCACTGACACAGAATACCAGCCTTCAGGAGCTGGGTAAGAGTTCTTTGCCCATGTATGCATGCATACATGCATGCAGACACACATGTGCCTTTAGGTTTCTTGCCTCAATTTCTTCCAACTGATTGGTGTCATTCCCAATTCCTGTCAGTCTGAAGTGCTTTGATGGCTTTGTGCAGGGAATGGTCTCAGCCCCATGGCCTTTGGAGAGTGGGAACTGAAATTGGAATCTCTGGAACCAAACCTACAGATGAAAAACTGTGTACTTGGGGCAGAACAGTCTTTAGTGGAGGAAGAAGTGTTTTCATTCCTATTTGTGGCGCACCTCATGACAGACTCTTGATCCTTAATTCACATTCACTTTGTCCTTATATGGAATTTTGCTGGAATTTCAGGAGAATGTGTCTTTTGTTGCTGATTCTTTCTCATCCACAGATTCTGTCTGTGGAAGGAAGGCTCGTGAGAGCCAAATGTGAGACACAGACTTGTAACTGTCATGGCTTCCTGCAGTTTACTAAAGATTTATCCTTGCCTTTCCTGCTTTGTCACTTTCTCTCCTTCTCATTCATCTTGAAAGGGGCCACAGTATTCACCTGTGTTTGTGCTAGGATCATCTGGGATCTCAGCAGATGTGACTGCCATGGTGAAAGTTTGCTTTCTGTGTAGATTTGCGATGGAATAACATTGGGCTTCTGGGTGGCCGAGCGTTGCTGAACTGCTTGCATAGCAACAAGACCCTGAAGAGGCTGGAGCTGGCAGGGAACAATGTTCCTGGTGACATCCTGAAAGCTGTGGGTAAGTGTGATGTGTGTACAGTAATGAATCACTTAACTCCTTTCCCAGTCCAGCACTTGGGGGATATAGGGCACTTGCTGCTCCAGAAGAGAGCTAACCCTCTTTCCCTCCCTTTCTCAATAGCATTTCCACAGTGCCCTATGTCGCCTTCTCTTGTCCTTTAGCGAGGGCTAATCAAGTTGGAAGTGTCACTTTGACTGGCAAAAGCAAAAAAAAAAAAAAAAGTTTGGATTGAGTTATTAGAGATTGATATGCCATGTGAATGAACCTGAGACTTTGAGACTTGCTCGTAGTTTGCCTCTGATGAGCCAAGTTTTGATGTGGCTTATGCAGCACATCCTTTGTCGTTGTCCTGCCCACAGCAGAGTTAACAGCTTTCCTGAGGCTGAGGTGTTGATTACCCCACACACACTGCTCTCTTTGATCCCATCCCACCTTGTGATGTAAGGTGGGACTATCTCCATGGGCCAGTCTGAGAAGGGCAACTGTCCTGGTGCTTCTGATATCCAGTGGTCATCCTGAGTGCTGTCTCTTCCAGCAGTGCTTGCTATTCTGTTGCTTTAGAAGCTTGTGCATGTTCTCCTGCTCTCTCTGCATCAGAACAAGCCTTGGATCACAACCAAGACCGTGAGGCTATCCTGAGCGAGGCCCAGAACCAAATGAACATCCTCAGCAAGGAGGTTTTGAGTCTGAAGGATGAGAAGAACAAGCAGGTCAGCAGATGTTGGCAGTTCAAATGGGGTACCTGGAATCCTTTGCTTTCCCTTGAGGTCCCCCAGAACACTCAGTGGCAGTATTATTGTGCACCTGAAGTTGCACGTGCATTTTTATGGGCAGGCACACAGCATGATTTAGTACATTGAGGCTCAGTCCTCTGAGATGGGTTATTTGAGGGATAGTGTGAGTATGGACATCCCTGCTGAACATATTTACTCTGGGTTCTGGAGGAGTTTTGGTTATTTGTGCTTTCGTTTCTTCTTTTGCAATTTGATATTTTCCAAGTGGTGTAAACCTAGAGATCTGTTTTTCCATTTGACACCTTGGGATGCAGAGTCCCTGTAGCTGATGACCTTATTCAGATGTGCTAATAAACTAATCAGACTTCCAGTTTGCTTCTGGTAGAGTGGCTTGACATGTCTTCAGCTATTGCTGGGAAGAGAAAGATGAGAAATGTAAAGGTTTGTAGCTGATGCAGTTAATTTTCTCACTGAATTTTGCCTTGCTCACAGTTCATGGATTTTGTGGATACTGTAGACAAGCAGAAAGAAGAAAGAGCCAGGAGTGAGAAGTGAGTTAGATTCGAAATGTTTCCTGCTCTTTGATGGCACTCTCCATTTCCTGGCAGAAATTACCCACTTTTTTTTTTTCCTTTTTTTTCCTCCCAAATGCAGAATGTCTGCAGCACGAGTCAGCCAGCTGCAGGAAGCATTGGATGAGCAGTACTCCATTATGAATTCACTGAAAACCAAGTATGGAGCAGGAAAACCTTTGTCTTCCCACTGTTTGTGCTGTATAAGCAGTGCCAAGCAGTGCTTCTAAGAAAGGGGATAATCTTGTAGGGTAGCTGGATTACTATTTTGGTTAGTTCTGCAGTAATATCCAGAAATTACAGTCAGATCAAGCCTTTGAGTTTGCCACACTAGATACTTAGCTTGCTTTTAAGTAAAATGACTACATTGGTGTAAGAGCGAGTGAATTACAGAAGGTGGGAAGAAAGAAAAAGGATTGTGCAGATGGGATGGGGACATGTTCCTTGCATGGTTTACAGCCTGGCAGGAATCTCTGCCTGTTTCCCCTGGCAGCTGACAGTGTTCTCTGGGAAGCACTGCAGGTATGGAGGAGCCTGGCTTGGGAACAATGAGGAAGAGGTGCTCAGAAGAAGTGTGAGATTATGCAGAGCCATATGCACATGGCCATGGTTTGACTTCAAACCCTGCCTAGTTGAATTCTGCCAGGTAAAGGCAGCGTTTCATGC